TGAAACTTTAATTATTTTCGAACGCATTCTCTCAACTCTAAATAACGTAACCTGCACTTTCTATGTAGTTTTGTTGATGAAAATTCGATTCGAATCAAGCACTCGCTTGATTAAACAGTTTCAATGGTGCGCCAGGAGCTTCTGCATTTGAATAGGATTTCTGTGAAAGAATTAACGGTACAAAGGCTTCGTTTAGGAATTGTGGTGTTGCAGTTTCAGAAAAATATACCAGTCATTAGATTCTACGAGTTTCAAATTCGATACTTCTATTTTCTACATTTGCTATATAAGCCCATCACATGCACAAGAGGACATTTTTCTTTACCCGCAGCAGGTGGCACTGATCTTTATGGTCTAGCTAGGGGTGAGCCTCTTCTGTACAAAGATTTTCAGGCTACTAAAACAGTGGTACATCATACGCAGACGCACTCAGCCGAGTCCGTCACGTTAATTGCAAAACTTTCGCGCCACGATTTACCATTTTTCTCTTCCTCTTTTTACCCGTCCACTGCAGCAGCTTCGCGCAAATCTCTAAAGTTTGCTCTTCTTCCTTCTTCCTCCGTATCGTTTTCATCCCTCTTTTTTCTCCCACGAGACGGAAAGTAGAGGGTTAGAGGTAAAAATAGGAAAGGTGAAGGAAAGTTGCGGAAAGTTAAAAATAAGACCAAAAGCTCGGAAGTACAAACGAAGGTTTCACTCTGATCTTTGACGCGTACGCGAGTTTTGGAGCCTAAAAATGAGTATATACATGTATACGCTGCAAGAAAAATAGGTTCAAGTTAAAAAAAGGCGTTTCACCATTGATATCAAGTAATAAAAAAAAAGTGACGTAATTTTGCATATGTTGAGTTTGACTTGGTTGAGCGTCATAAAAATACAAACAAATTCGAAAATAGCATTTGAAACGCCTTTTGGTGTAATAAAATCTCACAGACGCAACAAATAAAAAAAATATTCCCCACAGCCGTCATTCGAAAAAATCGGTGAGGTAAAAAAGGGTAATCCAGCGATATTTTTGAGGGAGTAAGCGTAAATGCTGCACTTGGCTCTCGCTCGTACACTACACGCACACGGCGTGCGAGAGGCATAAAACTCGGGCTCTCAAACGAGCGTTGCACTACGAGCGGCGGATAAAAAAGTGCTGCTGCAACGCCAATGCAGCCGTGTAATTCTCGCTCTGTCTACATGTACCTGCGCATATACACTCAATATCGGCGTGTGGGCACGTACTGCTTGCTTTCGAAAGTGAGACAAACAAGTATACATCAAAAAAATAAATATAGCAAATTTGATTATTTTCCCCTCCACTTTTGTAATACCGAAGAGAAAAATTCACTTGCCAGCCAGTTAGCTGTTTATTAGTGCGATAAAGGGGCTCCAGAGTCTATCATCAACCCGTAGGGGTTTAAAATTATCGTCAACGGCGACTTATTTATGTGTGTATATGCACACGCAGCTATTATTTCACGGCTTAGCAATAATTTCTTGATGTATTAAATTGAACACCCCCTAAATCAATCTTTGACAGCGTAAACATCTTTTTTTATTTCTCAAATTCTCAGACATACAAACGTTGTTACCGGCTATAAAAATTTTTTTTACCATTGTTTGCTTATGGTGGTGACGTAATTGGACGTGCCAACCCTTTCGTTTGAATGAATTCAGCACAAGAGCCACGAGAACCCTCCCCTTCTACTAAAACGATGAAATCGGGGATGGATGTATGAAACGCATCGAAGTGCATTTTCCCCTCCATGGATGCGATTATTCGGGCTCTATCTATCATCTGACAGTTTTTTTCTCCGCTACGCTGCTCCACGTGTCTATCGGTTCACGCGTTTATGCTCCCATGCAGTACAATACGCGTTTGTAGCCACATACACTGTACGTATTTCAAGCATTTCAGTACAGCGAAACTACTTGTTAAACTTTGTCGGGAAAGATGAAGATCACTTGAGAACCGAAGGATTAGGACTACAAACTTCTAATTCAGATTTGCTCGAGACTTCCCGCACACAATTAACGGGAAAAGAAGCGCTGCTAAGTTTGGAAGTAGTAGTCTTTTAAAATATAAGATTTTATACACATTTGTAAATCTTGAAAGTCCCAACGTGTAGTTGATTAAATAAAACAATCTTACATGAAATAAATTTTTAATTTTATCAAAAACCATTTGATATGCTATTTAATGGGCAAAGTTTTCAATACTCAAGATTACTCCTGCATTATAATCAGTCTGTCCAAGTGTGTCTGGCCACATTCAGCTTATTCTACTTAAACCAATAAGGCAGTAGTAAAAATCGAGCTGCACTGCTAACGAGGCAGCTTAAAGCTCGAGCTAACCGAGGCGTGGATTTATGCACAATTAAGCTCCACGCGCATACGTGAAAAATGTCGAGCACAACGAGAGAGGAGAGGTGGGCGGCGTGTTTCTAGGTCGCGCGTCGCCGAGAGACAGTCGATAGAAGAATAGCTCTTTTCGCTCGCCAACCGGGATAAATCGAGCGATGTACGTATATACGCAAATTTATCCGATGGAATATCGTATTACAGCTTCCATTCATCATTTCGACGCAATGTCTTGACCGGTATATCAAAGAGATGCCACGCAGCTTTGACTGATTTCGAGGGTATTTATCTTGCTCGGCTCGTATTATCACACCGATGATTTATGTGCCCAGACATCATTTGTGTGCGTATTAGTGAGTAAGCGGATCGGGTAATTTATTGAACAATCCAGTTTGACATTCAATCTTTATCGAGGATGAAATTAACATTTTAAACGCCGACATAAAAATGCAGACTCAAAGAGCTGTGACTCGCAGGGGGTGGGGGAAAAGAGGAAAAGTGAAAAAGTTTAATTACGCGTTGGCATACCGTAGGGAAATTTTAAAAATTTTCCTTTGGCCACGAAGCGAGAAAGCCAATTACAAAGGGGAAAAAATGCGGCTCTCCATGTATTAAGGCCTCGTAAATTAGGCTACGCAATTCCGTATGAAAGCTCTCAGAGAAATTACGTGGAAATTCCCGAGCTTTTCTCAAAGCTCTGCTATACTAGCGCACGAAACCGTAAGGTGAAGTGTTTCCCTACTCTTGCAAAGCTCATTTATCCAACACATAGCATATACGCATATGCACGAGTACGCAGAGCTTTCTCACCTCGCAAGCTTTCGTTGACTCCCTCCTTTTTCTCTCTATGCTTGTATTAAAATAATATTGGTATACGTGCACGTATGTCAAAAAATGGTTGTTTCTCGATTGAAGTATTTTTTGACTGGCTTCTTTTTTACGTAATTGATTCTAAAATCACTTGTTTCGCTTTACTTGCAATAATTCACACTTTCTAGGGGAAATTAAAGTGTAAGGTGTTATTATAACAAGCTCAAAGCTCATTTTGCCACCTTTGGCTCTCGTGAAATTCAAATACGCCAACGCATTAGTTCTACATAACTCCTCCTACCCTCCAACAATTAAAAGCTTGCGAGTAAGAGCCAAAGAGGCAAATCTTAAGCGCGACTGTGCCTTTCTTCCTTTATTCCTTCGTGTGTGCGGCAGACACTTGAACTAAGCGTCGGACATAAATTCCCAGAAGTGCGTGCCACGGTAACAATAACCGCCCGCTGCGAGCATAACTCACCTCGTGTGCTTGCGGGAGTTTCGTACTTCCCGTATCCCAGACACTTTTCCATGGTATGGTGGCGTTACATTCCATGCGCTTGGAATTCGGGATCCTTAGTCGAGCTACGATAAACTGTTGGTCGCCCCGTGGATACAATTACTATGAGTTGAGAATCGAGAGATCCAGAGAGACGATTTACGTGGATTTTGTATTCTGTAAGTTGAGATGATAAAATTAATGCATTTTTTCTTTAAATACAGGCATTATTGTCCTTTAATGCCATCACCACAGAAGCCTGTACACCTAAGTCGTGAAACTTTATCACCACACACTCCATCCATTAAACTGCACTATCCGGTATCCATAACATTTTACGAGCCCTAAAAGAAATTTCATTTTAAGCCATCTTACTTATTTCAAACATTTAATCCGAGGACTGAGCATTTGAATAAACGTAAATTAATGAAAGCAAATGCTCAAATGGGCAAGAAATATTGACTTGCGAAAATGCTCATGGTAATAAAAAAAGTGTCGATACGTACAACACATATGTTGGAAAAATAGTTTGTATGAGCCTTTTTTAGCTGCCATTTACGTCGTACTAGTTAAACGCAAAAAAAAATCCATCCATCATCAATATTTATATTTTCCCCACGATTTTTAAACGTAGGTTTTGTTCAAAACTAATTTTCATGTCTACTTTACCTAGTGTCTACTTCACTAAGCGTGTTCAAGAACTGACTATTCAAAAAGTATTTTTTATTTAAAAAAAATTCCTCTATTCTACTATACTTATTGCATAAATGGAATTCTAGGTTTATGACTTATTCTTGGCGTTCCCTTTTTTTTCCATATTATTTACAGAGCTGTGTTTCATCGATTACATTGACGGAGATTTAATTAAAAATTTTATTACCAACACCCAGGGGTCTTGCATCTAATGTGTGCGCGCACAATTGGAAGCGCTCGCCTACTCTATTGTTTCGAAACACCCATACAGCTGTAAAATCCCTTGCTCAACTACAAGCTACCCTGTCTTCCGTCTCTTTTTAAAAAAGTAAAAAGCAATTTTTAAAGCTCCTCCGGGTTTCCACTGCCCACCCTTAAAAACCCAAGAAGCTTATCTCTTTTTGCTGATACGCGAGTGAGACGGAGCTGGGCGAGAACGAAAGAGAAAGGAGCTTTCCTGCCGGTGGTGGTGATGGCAGGAAAGAGAAGGTGGTTGAATCTGCGCGGCGCCCAGAGTCGAAAGGATACGAGGGGAAGCTCAGGGGGGTCGTACAACCACCGCATCCCTTCTCCCTTTCTCGTCTCGCGCGGCATGTGTATGCGCAGCGGTGGCACAACACCAGCGTCAGTCTCGCAGGGGCAGATCGCGAGGCTGGACGCTTCGACTTTTTACATAGCTAGTGGTGCAGTCCAGCCCCTCTGCTTAAATTTTTCCATATGCTCGCGAACAACAGGATGTAGACGGAAACGCGCATCTTTCGTAGCTTCGTGCTTTTTGGAGATGCCATGTGACGGTGGGACTGTTGAGGGAAACTGATTTTGCGAGCCCCGTCGAGGGAAGCTCTAGTTTGGATTTCGCTGTTTTTTTTTTTTTTAGTTTCGTCTTTTTTTTGGTGCATAGTGAGTTCAGATGATGCTTGACGTGTTGTGTTTTGTGCTTGTGCTTGCCAGCACCGGCTTCTGCCATCCGAAAGGTGTGTAGAGTGATTTCGAAGTTTTATTTTTTTTTTCAATTTGAATGTGAACTTGTTGGGAAGGGAGACTTTTTTTTCTCTGAAGTTCTGGTTGGTATTTTTATTTCTGCAGTAAAATGAAAGTACCACTGCACTCAGAGCATTCAATTGATCAGGTTAGCTTTTAGTTTACGGAGTAACGTGTGCAGGTGTAGCAGTAATTGAAGCGAAAGTTCGCTCTATTTCTCGTGATTTGGTTTTCAGTGCCTCAAAACAGGGGCTGAGAGTTTAATTTTTTTATTTCACGCGTTATTGAATGAATCACAAAATTTAAAAGATTATCAGTAACAATTTGAATAATCTTGACAATTTTATCTTGATTCGATAATTGGAGCACATACAATTAGATTTTTCAAGTATTATTTACTGTAACAGTAAACTATTTGTTCTTTATTTGGTTTTGAAAAATGTATAACTCGATTGACAAGTCCGAGATATCTGCTAACAAACATTTTTTTCTCTTTTAACTTTGTTGATTTTTGATTAGAGGTCATTAAACTTTTGATGAAAAATGTTCACTACTAACCAACGCTTAGTATTTGACTTCCACAGTATTCACACTTTCAACCATCCTCACAAACGACTATAGCAAAAGTGTGATAATTTATTCTATTATGTATAGCCAAAACAAAATTACAAAGTAAAAACAAAATTGAAGATGATACAAGCCTTCCTCAGACACTGAAAAACAATTGTAAATCTCATTATTCAAGCCACACCTAGTCCGATATAAAAACAATACCACCATATAATCCCTGTTTTGATACTCAGCCCGTATAGTCAATAACCATCAGTATAGATTTTCTGCCACAATCGCTGGAATAGCTATTGTCACTGAGGTTTGCTGGTAGTAGTAGTAGTATTAGATCCTTTTACCGCATCAAGACGAGCTCCTTGCACAGATCGATACATCGGGAGCTCTGCGTCTGGCAATGCAGTTGTCGGCTCACGTGTTTGCAAGTAAACGGGGCACGCGTGCATGTCAGGAGTGGCTCGAAAGCGCTCCTGCTCGGGGCTATTGCCGCACGCGATCTACCAACGCGGTTGATGTGTACGTGCCAGGCTATTGGATTGAGCTGTCAGCTAAACTACGCTTAGTTGTGTGTTGTACCTCATGTTAACAGTCTGGTGGATGATTTAGTTTCTTTAGTAAATGGCACATTTCGGGAGGAATAATATTTGCTGTGTATAATATAAATAATTGTTCTGATGGGAAAGTGTAAGGGACAACTCTGTTTTTTAGACTTATTTTGTTCAAATACACCGTCAAATCATCGTGTAATATTATTATTATTATTAATAACAATAAAACCATACCTTCATAACATGATATTGGTAGATCAAGTTGTCTTCATTCACGTGAATAATAAATGTTTAGCACTTCATGATGATAGCTTCAAATGGCACAGCAACAGGGAATTCCAATAAAAGTAACGTTATAATTAATACTCTTCAATTAAATTTTGATTACTCAAACGATTTCCTCAATTGAATTTCAATACAATGCAATGCTTGTAGGTTAAAGCAACTAATTGATACATAGGTTTGTAAATTTTTGAGTAGAATTTTAAATCGATTCCCAAACACTACGCGGATGTTCTGCATTTCAATGAGCGATGTTTCTATTTGGGTATGTACTGAATCAGCACAGTAAAGCCTTTCATCTGCGTGCACGTGCTCTTAGTTTTAGGCGCTCTTGACTCGATTTTACACTCGAGGGGTTGCGTTAGTCTGTATCTGTGATGAATTTCTTTTTTTTTATTTTTTTTTTTTTTTTATCAACAAAACTTTATACTTGATCTCTTTTTATCTTTTCCATTAGGGCAAGCGCGCATATTTGGTCAGAGTTGATTACGCGCCGTCGGACAGGGTCCAATGGTGGCTTTATATTTTTCTCTTCTACACGGGGCTGTGAGGTCGCTCCAATCCCTCATGCTCACCAAAGTTAATAAACTCTGGTTATTATGTGAAAGATTTACACTTTTCTCCTTTATTTCTTGCTGATAGTAAAAGCCATTCATCGGTACAGATACTTTTCAAGGTGATGATTTTTTTATTTCAAAAGAGTTGATAATTTTTTTGAAGGGTCGTCGATCACTATCTCATCCTCCTGACCACGAGTGGTTGGCTAATGCCACGGTATTTTCGGACGTAACAGCAGCGTCGGTGACCCGATCGAATTTGCGGTTTCATCGGGGGTAATAAATGCTATACCGACGGCTGCTCGTTATGCACACGCAACACTCAGGCTCGTGTATTTACTCTGGTCGTAAAACAAGCCACCACATCCTTCCGTTTACCCCTTCGACCAATTTTGTAGTAATGCTAATAAGGTTTTTTAGATTTTCTACTATGTATAGTATTGAGTTTTAAGAAAATGCACTGGATGCAGATTATTTACTTCTTACAATGGCATAGAATACAAAAAAATCACTATATTAGGATATCACAGTAAATAGCTTGTAATTATATTTTTCCACTCAACTGAAAATCCTTCTGACTGCTCTGAGTTTTTAACAATTATCTTTTTGATCAAATACTCCAAAAGCACTTGGCGATTTATCTAGTTCTTTAGTTGTAAATAGAGAATCATGAGAAACTGGATTAATAACTGTGGTTAATAGCGTACTTTTGAGTAAGGTTCAAAAGATTAATTAAAAAATCCACAAGCTTAGGATTGGCTGCTTTGCTACAAATTTTAATTAAATCTGAGTTCATTGTCCAAGTGATGGGTCGAAAGATTAAACTTTGACATTCCACCAAACAATTCATTTCACATATAATACATCGAGGAGCTAATACAGCAGTGTAAAATCATATGGCTGACCAAGCGCTGATACTACTACTGAAAATTTTTAACGTTACCGAGAATACTGCGTGATATCATAATACGTGTAAGAAATATTGCGAACTTTGGAAATAACTATTTTCAGAGTGTAAATACGGTAACCAGATAATAGAGCAACAAACAAACAGCAACAAGTAAAATCACGTGATTATCCGAAGTCGCGCAAAGCAATTTGTACTTATACCACTTTTTTTCATCAAAACGAATCTCCAATATCTCGCTGTTTAGTTCCTGAAAATTATTCCTCCTTATCTTAGGAAAGGGGGGCTGTTTTCCCAATGGCTGTGTACATAATTAAATGCAGCAAACCAAAGTTTTCATCGCCCCTTGCGTGAACAGCAGTTTGCTCGGATAAACAGCGTGTTTGCTTTTGCCTTTAATTAATTTGTTGTCTCAAACTTTTCCCTCAATTATCACGTTTCTCAATTAAAATAACATATTACGTTTACATCGGGGAAATCAAACAGAATCACTATCGAGTATTGTAAGATAAGAAATGAGAGTTAAAAAAATAATAATAACGAATGCATGCAAGACTCTGATAAGTCAAACCTTATCTATCCCCACAGATGTTAAATATGCAGGACTCGCTATGGTATCTGGCTATGCAAATTGATTCTGAGAATACTTTTTGTATGCAAATTAACGACACTGACTTCACAATCACACTTGAACACGAAACGACTGGACAACACCGAGTCTCGACCACATTCGTGCATTAGCCGAATTAAAAAGTGGTGGCTTGAAGAAAAAAGTCGACCACATTAAAACGGGGCAGCTTTGCCTTATCGTAATTGAATCCTTTAGCATTACAGGGGGAGGGGCGAGACAAAGTTTATCGAGTAATTTGGTATTATTCGCGACAATAAAGCCGGAGATGAGCTCTGGAGGGAAGAAAAGAGGGTTCAGGTGTTGCTTCGGATTAGTAGTATTTTTACGAGGACATCTCCTGAAACCTCCTATCTAAACGCGCGATCATAATGTTCATGTCCGTTGCACGAGATCCTGAAATTGAATTCCTTATTTTGTGACCCTACATTACGCTATAACCCTAAATAACGATAAGGGAAAAAATGGAGAAACGCTCAGCGGGGCTCCGAGTTAGGATGAAAGAAAGACGATTCCACGACATTCAATAATCATTGTTTCGATGTAAAAAAAAGTAATAAAAATTCTTAAATTTCTCCCACAAGTGCTTTATTTTCGGATAATAATTTGTGCCACCAGTGAAGTATAAATCTTTTCACGGAATCGTCAGCTGTTGCTCATTTAGCACGTAAGTAACGCACCGTCTCCATCCACGTTTGCTTAGCGGCTTAACCTCACCCTCTGAGCTCTGAATATGCAAGCGAATTTTGAATTCGAGACAGCTGCCGCGTCCCGATACACAAGTACACATTGTGTGTGCATGGAGCAACATCACAGAAGGGGTAGATGGAAAGAGAGAAACAGTGAGACAGTGAAGAGTCAGCGTTGCCAAAGAGAAAAGGAGAATTTAAGTGGGAGGTAGAACTCGTGTCTAGAAAAGCAATGGCCCATCGTAACTGTGCGTCTACTTGCCTTGTGGGCACGTGCTCGTATTTTTTTACACCCATCGGGACTTTGTATGAATTTCTAAAATAAAATTTAAAAAATACAACGCCGGCACATTTCATCGATAAAGTTACCTCTCACTGTCAGTAGGAGCATAGAACTGGGATTCCAAAAGCTTACAACCCCTTTGTTAAAATTTATATCTGGCAAACAATAAAAAACTACTTTACTTGTTGAGTGGACACATTTTATTATTTACTGTGCCCTTTACATGTTTACATTCGATTCACCGGGGGTGGTGGTGATGATGATGATAAATTAAATTACCTCATGGAAGCTGCAGTCGAGCCGCAAATTCGCGCACCATAATCCTCGCGATTCCCACGAATAATCTAAACTACTCGCGGCACAGCCAGTTCACCGTAAAACCGCGAATTCATAGCATCAGAGCCCCCGTTAAAACCCGCGTACACACGCTGCAAAAACGCTCGGTTGTAAATCTTTGGTAATGGCCGTACAGTGGTGATAATTATGCACACGGGCTGCGTTACAGCTTTTAAAAGCTTGTCCAGCCACGGCTGCTTTACACGGATACACGAGACATAATTTTAAATACAATTACGAGGCCACGGAAAATACACGCGTGCTATTGTTATACTTATGTGCAGGCAGCCAAGTGAAACTTGAGCCCCACAGTCGGAATAATCCCCTTGCAAATATATATATACATATATATANGGCTGGCAGCCCTTGAAAATATTAACGGAACCAAGTGCGCCCAAAGAGAAAGAGATGGTCAGGGTTTTCGAGAAGCAATTATTCTCAAAGGGATTACGAGTGTCCGTGAGAATAATCTCACGCAAAAAAGCTCGAAAATTGTACGTGAAGCTGCGAGGCAATATATAACACCTGTGTGTGGTCTTCGGCCTGTGCTGCTGTTGTTGCTATTGATTTACTGCAACATGTCTCGGGAGTACATCCCGATGTTTAGCGAGGGAAGACTCCGACCAAGAAGACAAGAGAGTTCACCATCGATCAATATTTGTATTGCGTCGGCTTGAGTTCACGATACAATAGTAGCTAATCATCTGCGCTACATCACTACACGATTTGGGGATACGTATCGTTCAGTGGGTAAACATCTTACTTGAGAGTCTCGTGTTGCGGATTGTCTGGGATGGATTCCCTCAGGGTTGGTCCGATGGGGGCTGTTTTTTTCCCTGTATCCCTTTGAACAGCTCACCCAAGAGAAAAAGGTATTTCAATCAAACTCGCCATCATTGCACGTGTCTTCAAATCGACCGTCCCTCTTTTCTATTTTTTTTTCTTCTGCGTACAGTTAACCACCAACCAATTGTGACCAATGGACCATTCGTGGGGCATCCGAATCGAGAAAAAGCGATCCAACTCCTCGCTGGGGTGTATGAAAAATCGTCTGTACTTACTTGTACTGCGCGTGAAGTGTGGTATGAACGCTAAACCATACTCTCTCCATATCCAACTCCTCTCTGGTGCTTGTTTAAAAAGTTAGGCAGGCATTTGCTGAAGTGTTAACTTTTCGCAACAGCAGTTTTCCGCACTATGCTGTCGAGGTGGCTGGAATGATACATATACGCATTGTCAAGTTACACTCTTTGGGTTTTAAATTTTATAGAAAGTTGAGAAAAATATCCTTGTGCAACTCACCGTAAATGATAGATTTTTATTTTTTATCTTGGTAGAGAAAAAATAGTGTATATCTCACGACTCTAATAAAAGTAAAACTTTTGCATACATTAAAATGATGCTTTGCAAAAATATTTCTTCAACAATTTTGAATGAAAATATTTTTATTTCTACTTTACAGTTACAAACGTAACTGAAGCCTAGTAAATGTGAAAAAACTTAAGGACCTCCTCGAGGATGCAGAGATGAATTCAATACATTTTAAATATCGCTGAGTAACTCTAAAAAGACACAAGTTATCAGGGTAAATTTTCACTATTGTTTTTAGTGGTTGTTTTTACTATTGCAGTATATAGGTTTAGAAATTTTTGAGATGTAAGTGAAAAAATAAGTTTTAGCGTCGATTTTTCATCAACACTGGCCTTTTGTAATTTTGTATTTTTTTATCTTTCTTATTTCTCTTAAGTAAAAAAAAAAAAATCATGTTTGTGCTTGATGAATCCACCAATGCAGTATTTGAAGAAAATGTTACTGGCATAAGGGTTTGAAAAACAAAATATAGGCACTCCCACATAATATTTATGAACTCCCGGAACATCCAGTTTTTCATCAACTCCCACACGGAATCTAAAAGTGGTAAAACGCTGTTGAAAGATTCACTTCAAAAAAACATAAAGTTACGTGTATCAATCAGCTGGAGAGCTCGGAATTCCCGCGGTTAAACAGAAACTTTCCGTCTCGGTCGACCGCGAAAAACTTTGCTAAAAAGCCTGTACATGTATAATACCGTTTCCTCTTCTCCATTTCCCGGCGTTCGAAGAGAGAGAACTGCGTTCCCGACGCTGTCGTTTGCATAAATGCCGCGCCCGTCGAGAAAAGTAGTTTTTTACGAATGGCTGGCAATCCTCCCTCCTCCTCTAATGCATTAAGATAATTAAAAATGGGAAAGTTCTGTTATTTTTTTTTTGCGTTCGCTTTAAAAACTTTTTTAGTTGCGTCAACCCCGTTTTTTTTTATACTGTCATTTGCGGGCGCAATGCGATGCCCCTTTTTGTTATAATTGCGCTATTGAATTACAATTTTTTCACGCACGGAGCATACTAATTAGGAAAATGCAAATGCGAGAGTGAATATTTCATTTGTCAACGACTGACGACCAAGCAAAATTTGATTATCAATTTAAAAATTTCTTGTATCCAATGATAAATTTTTTCTACATGAGTTTGTTCAATTATTTAATTTGGGCATGAAATAAGCGTCGATGACTTTGCAATTAATTTCAAATTTCTATACGCTGTTGTTTCATTCAAAGAGCTCAGAATTCGATGTTTCAAGTACAGTCCATTCGTTCGTACGGATTTGTGGTTGGCACACCAAAAGCTCACATTACGCTCGAATGTATCGAAAGCTCGGAGAGACAAAGATAACGAGTGTGTTTTGGGTAAAAAAGAGCAACCAAAGCAAATCAGGTCAAGCAAACACCGATCCGATGATCGATTAATTTAGTTAATCTCGTTCCATCTCCTCTCGACCCACCGCTTAATCCACATCAGAATTTCTTTCGCTATTTGGCAAAGAAAATTGGCTCTTCTATGATCAACAACATTTACTTACGTATATTTTATTCGAGCGGCAAAAATTATTTACTTTACATTGTTACCTTCAACTCGTTTGTTTTGTGCCCTATTAGTAAAGTTATAAAAAATTTAAAGATTAACAACCCCACGATGCTTTAAAATTTTAGATGAGAAACGAAGTAGAAATAACTACAACTAGAGGCTTAGAAAATGAGACCACAGTAGAGTCATTTATCTGCAAAAATAATCTCGACGAAATTAATTAAAGTCTCGCTCTCTTCCCTCGATTTACTTTACCATCAACTGCTTGGGGCTGGCAGCCCTTGAAAATATTAACGGAACCAAGTGCGCCCAAAGAAAAAGAGATGGTCAGGGTTTTCGAGAAGCAATTATTCTCAAAGGGATTACGAGTGTCCGTGAGAATAATCTCACGCAAAAAAGCTCGAAAATTGTACGTGAAGCTGCGAGGCACCACACGCGTAATTACTTTTTGTTTTGTAAAGATATGCGCATATATTAAGTACGTATATCCACGTCGATTCGACTTGGCGTTGTTGCTCCGTTCACGTTCATTTACGTAGGATATCACGGAGAGTCGGTGCCTCTTTTCGCGCGTTATTCGATGCCATGGAAACTCCCTGGGACTAAAACTGGTACTAAGTAATTTTTTTTCCTTTGGCTATGCATGGGGAAAAAGAATAAAAATGTCTGCAAAAGTGAGAGAAAAATTTTCCTCATTAGCTGTCTGAGCTATGCTAATGAGTAAAAAAGTACAGAAAATATCATGAGATTTCTTACATTTTTTTTCCAGTTCTAGGGGAGAGATAGTTTTTAACGGTTACAAAGTACATCATAACATTAAATGTATAAACTTTTATTAAGTATGTTGTTTTTAAAGTTACTTAAAACTGTGAATCAAACGGCACTATTAATGGCAATTATATATTTTTCGATAAGTGAATTCAGATACTCAATCTGTTTTTTAAGTCGATTCATAATTAAAATTCCTTATAAGTTTTAACCGAGGCTTTGAATAAAAGAGACATTATCACTATTTATTACTGAACCTTGTGTAAATCAGATTTATGATAATTATAACTTATTTATTAATGGAATATTTTGTTTTCTGTAAACAAAGAGATTAAAACAGCTAAAAATTTCGTTCAGCTAAAAATTGTGAATTAATTCCCACATTTTTGAATTTACCTTATTCATCGTATGAATATTTCATATTTTGTGTAAATGATTAGTTGGCATTACTTAAAAAATATTTTTCGATCCCAATAAAGATCGCGTATCATAAAAAAAACGACAGTTTACATACATACATTCGTTCAGCCGTGATTTTGTCTCAGTCATACTCACTGCACGAAAATAACGAGATACTCTATCTGAAATTCAAACAATCTTTTGCTTCTGTGACTAATGACGACAACGAAATTTAAAAGCAACTCCTAGTAGCATCAGAAGCATAGGCCATCGTCAGGCATAGCTTCGTTTCGAATTCATAGTTATTGTGATTTATACGCTGCTAACGAGAGGAAGAGAGAAAATCCGTTTTCATCGGGAAATTCAAGTGATTCGTTCAAATTTTTTCTCTTTTTCTGTTACAGATCGAAGCGAGTCGACGTCCCAGCCACAGCTCGGGTGCAAACTCGAGGGTCTGCAGCCCCTTCTCATCGTCACTTACAAAAACCTCACGACATCGGTGAGTATACGTTTATTGATACGCAGATAGTAAATGTCAGTGAACTCTCTCCCTGAGTCGAGAACAGCTTCTCTTTTAATTGCGACGCTCCCATTGAATGCATATTAATGAGTTTTTTTTAGATACGTTTATGCATTACAGTTGTGCAAGCTGGAGACATCTTTCAAATTAAATTTTCCTTCATGAGTTAGAATAATTGTAATCCCCAGTCTCTCGTTTTTTCTTACGGCTCTTCACTTGGCCGTTCGTTTGCAGATTTTAACGATAGCAGTTCCTCTTTTTGGCTGCTCGTTATATCTCCTCTACGTTCTGGGTACTCACACCACGTTCTGCAGACAGATTTACGAAGATGTACCTTACGGTCAGGAGAAAGTGGAGGAAATTTTCCGGCAAGACCCATAACTTGCAGCTTCCGCTTCGCCTTTCCCAGTAATCGATATTTTTGGTGCACACGTACCCACATTGAATTTCACTCTCTCCCCCGTCGAGACGTGGTTGAACGTAGTGATGGCCGCTCTGAATGTTTAGTTGAGAGTTATTTGTCTGTACCTACGAAAGGTATGAAAAAAAGATCATGGAAGTATATCTGTTTATTGATGGCATACGGATAACTTTTGTTTTAGAATTATTGATTGCATTTTTTAACGATCAGTAAGATTTCTGTATGAAACACACCAGCTTTTTTGGTCACAGCCAGTATGCAAATGCACGTCACGCAAACTTTAAATCATCTCTTACATCAAGGATTGCCATCCCCTTTTAAAGGGAGGGACGAGCGGCGTTACATCACATTTTCAGTAGTACGAGTCAGCGTCATGTCAGACGCAGCTTAGAAAATTGGTCTTGTTCGTTTCTTTGGTGTAGAGTGTAGATGAGAGAATATAAAATTTCTCGAAATGGACCAGACGAGAGGTACTAGAGGATTATAGGCAAGGATGTAGTTTTATGAACAAATGGAAAACTATGGTAAGGTCGTAAGGGATATTTTGCTAGCTAGCTGGCGCATTGTGTAGCCCCACCACAGGCACTTAAACCTCTCCTCGAGTCCCTTAATCCTCTCCCTTCTTTCTTCACATCTTGCCAGTGAGGATTTTTTGTCTCACCTTCTGGGTTGCGTTACTAAACTACTTTGCATTCAAATGGCCAGTGAGAGCAGAGTAAAAGAAAACTCTAGCTGCCACCAACGATTCGTACCAGCCAAGACGGCTTATTCATCTCGTTTTTTCCGCCTCATTTCTTACGATAGCGCAAGCGTAGAGTATTTTCTTGGAGCATAATTCCTTTTTTCCCTTTAGTTGCAACTACTACCAGCCATCTCGTTACTTCTTTTGTTGGAACTAATGGTTTTTAATGTGATTCTCAAGTAGTGATATTGTGCACTTGAGGTACTATAATTTATACCACTACTCGAAAAGGGCAAAGTGATTTTCGCGTGTAAGCTATTACACTGTCATTTAGTTAAATGTAATAAATTGAGCTCGTGGGTGCGTCCGCAGAAAGTTACAATTTTTATTATCAAATACCATCTCCAGCGGGAAAAAATTGCACTTGAATCAGTCGAAACATTCAAATGCTTACTTGAAAATATTATGAAAGTATTAATTTTTTTTGCCAGCAGTTCGGAGAACTTACAACGCTTTTCATACTTTCTTTCCCTCTCTATAGCATTCCTATGGGGCCTTTTTTTACAGCAGTTAATTATCTGTCATATGCAGGCTAAGAAAAAAAAAAAAAAAACCTTACAACGTTGCTAAAAGAGATTCTTTTATTTGCACGACCTACTTCCGTAGTTTGCAATTTTGCTCCAGTTTTATTTCCATCTCGTAAAATCTTTGAATTTTTTCCGATTGAACGGCGTGGAGTTTATTAAATTTTTTTTCTGGAAATGAAAAATAAAACAGAGGAAAAAAAAAGATTAAAAGCAAGAAAGTATAACAAAGAAGTTGAAAAATAAAAAAGTGTGGTGAAAATTGGACGTGGATTTTTTCGGCGGAAGGACGAGGCGAGGCTTCGGCAAAATTGGCGACGCCGGAAGCAAGTGCCAAATGAAGCGAAAAATACAAAGTAGAGCAGAAAATCCGATAAAAAAGAAAGGAGGTGAAATAAAATGCACGACTTGCTCTCCACTGTATAAAAGTTCGGGTGCTCGACACATTTGCTCGTCTCTAAATGTCACACACATAAATTCTCTCAAATGCCCCCCTCCCAAAAAATCCATAAATACAATTGCGTAAAAAATAAAAAATAAAAAAGCTAGCATTGTACATAAAACGTAGACAGAGAGAAAAGGCGGTCGTATTACAAATAAAAGTATACAGTGGTTGCGTCACGCTGTGCACACACAGTATTTCTCACACAGAGCGAACACCGAAGAAAAGCTTTGCCAAATTTCATTTCGCTGCGTTTTCCTTGGCCAGTCTAGTTCCTTCTTCTTCCCCCTTTGTTGTATTTTCAAGCGTCCATTTCTCTCATTCTTTTTTTGAGTACAGCGGAACTGAACGTGCACGTGACGCCGTCACCGTAGCAGCAGCTGTATGTACACGGTCGGTGGTGGAAATTGCCGATGTCGTCGATTGCAATGTGCTCTACAGAGACTCATATATATATCACGTTTAAATTTTCCTCTTTGCTTTTTTCGTCGAGACCTCTCAGCTTTTTACGCTTCTGCCTGATGACGATGGTGGCAACGCTCGCTTACTCGTCAATAGGAAATGGGAGACTTTTCACATGTCCTGTACAGTATAGATTTTGTGAAGATGGAAGGAACAGCAACGGTGGTGGTGCCAGTCGATGATGGACACACTTGAATTTTTTTAGCACTGCTTCGGCAAAAAAGTGACGACTCCTCTTGCTTTGCTGTACTTGTACCTTAAACCAGTTTTATTTATTTCTTAATGGTACCTTGAGTGACTTCATGTGGCTAATACCCGCATGGTATAAATGACTTTTTTTTTTTAGTATCGCATTTAAAAAGATTTTTTTTAGATTTTTTTACAAAGATGTTTACACAACCAATTTTTATTTATGATACGATCTCGTATTCTATGCAACATTCAAGTCTATTAAATAAATCAGAAGTTTTGTTTTATCATCAGTCTAAATAATCGATGAATTTCTCACATAGAACAATGTACCGAGGACGAACTTTTGTATGGATGTAAAGTGTGTGAAATAAATTTTAGGCATATCATTAAAAATATAATTTTCCCTCATAGAAATTCTCAGTAAGAGTATTTTTTTGCTTGTGCACATGCAGACTGAAAATATTCGTCCAGACTTTTATATACCTATTCTTATTCGTAGGTATCAATTAACACACAAATGTTGAATCATCTTTTGGCAAAATTTTTTGGGTATCGAGTAAATCTGAATAATTGCGTCACGGACTACGGAGAAATGAAATACGTACGGATCGAAATCCCCACGACAAACGTACACTCCTGGCTCGTGCATGTTAATTAACTATTTCCACCGCAGACCCAACGAAAAACATTTGTCTCAGTTGAGCTGTATTTCACCGAAATTTAAATGCATTGTTTGCTCCACCATAAAAAAAAAAAAAGAAAAAAGACAAATTGGGGTAAAAATCCGTCGAAAAAGAAAACACCCTATCTCGGCAAAAAATCTGTTCGTCCAATCAAGTGCTGGCATACCTTGTCGCTCGGGGGATCGCATACCAGCGCCGAATTCCTGAACCGCAGAGTAATCTACCCCCAACGTGGTTTCGTTGCTCCCGTGCATTGACACAGTCGTTGTCTCGTCGCTCGGCAGCTTGCGATTTCGCCTCGAGGCATGTCTGCGGCTGCGGGGCTCTTCAAAGCTTGAAACTTTTCGGGTGCAACGACGCAATGACTTATTGTCGCCTTGAGAATTTTCCTCGGGGCTTCTTTTAACCTCGTCTTAGCTCCAGGTCTACTGAGTTGGAGAGGAGTGAGCTGGCCAGGGTTAATTTATGCTGGCTCAGGAGAGTTTGAATTTTAGATAATTTTAATTGCCTTCTTGTTTCGTAGACAGAGCGTACCAGTATGACTGAAAATGAAAGATTTACGTATTCGTTGTGAATTCATTTTTATACCATAAAAAATTACCTAATATACTATGTGATCTTATTTCTTGGGAATACAGATGTTACTTTCATTAATCATCCAGATTGGGCTGCAATACTGGACAGGCATTAGGTAATCCACGCACCTGATTTAATAACATAAATTTATAAAGTTGTGTTTGAATATCCAGCAGTCACATAGATCTCAACAACTTTGATAAATAACAATGTGAATATTTCAATTAAAACCTTTCAGAGATTCATATTATCTATGCTTAGAAATAAACGACCAAATATTTGAGGGGAGTCTGAGATCTGCTTTAATATTAACGTAAGTCACCGTCGTGACGTTGATAAATTGCGGCTAAAGTCACGGAAAAAACTCGATTAACCGTCCGTACCTTGTGCAAAGTACTTCCTCGATGTTTTTTCCCCTCAAGGATGACATGGGAAATTCAGAGTGTGTATGGAATCTCCCCTGGACAGCCCCCAAAATTATTAGCCAAAAAAGGAGATCAGTAAGCAAGACCACAAGACCGTTAGAGGGTATTTTAATGCGTGCCAACCAACTGAGAAAAATCCATACCTGAAATATCGAGCGAGTAGTGGTGCGAGAAACTATTTCTTCTATTTGGCAAAAGGACGAGTCTGCATTCCGATCACGACTTGGACGTTGTTCTCTTGCACATCTTCTGCATATCCAGGCTGCCATTGGCGCTTAAATCGCAAAATCATACGTTTGTGAGGGACGACAACTACGACGATATTCTATGGGGTTAAAAAGTTTTTCATTTGAATCGTACTTCTTGGTTTAGCTCTTCGTTTTTGTTGAAGTTTAATAATATACGTGCACGTATGTGTATTGATGGCGCGGAATTTATTATTTCGCGATCGTAAAACTTAATTTCACTACATCGAAAATTTATTATTGGGGTTCATGCAAAAGTATTTATTCGTTTTTAAGCTATAAGCAGGAGTCTAAGTTTCTCAGAAAAGAAAAAAATTAAAGTTAACAACGAAACAAAAAAGGAAGGATTACAAATTCTCATGGAAAAAAATTATTCACTTACTTCTAAAAAAAAGGCTCAAGAAAAAGAACTTTTTAATTATCTTAACGATTCTGGATGACCCAGCAAGTTACCTTATCTCTCACTCAGGAGTGTTAAAAAAATAAAAGTTTCAATGAACATTTTAATAGTTAAGAAATGAAAAGTCATAAGAAAAAATATATCCAAAACAACTTGATATAATTTCTAACATCACACTTTTATCTGTCACATACGCTCACCCACTCATTCTCAGGAGCGTTCATAATACCCACAATATGTAGGTACTTAAAGAAAGGGCTTACAATTAATGAAAAACTATTTTCATTACAAATGTTTGTTCAATTATGTAAAATAGATGATAAACATACTGTCATTAAAATATATTGCAAACATACTGATGATATGTATTCATAATGAACGATTAAAAATAAAGCTAACTGTACTGTTTTTAGTATACTTGATTTTTTTTAAATCCTAGTTAAACATGTAACCTTAGGAAAAAATTCGTAAAATTGCATTTATAAGGAAATTATCTGTAGAAATCTCCCAATTATTTGTATGATAGAATACTGTTAAATGAACATTTNTTTTTTTTTTTTTTCTAATTTTTCAGTTGGGAGAAATCACAGTGCCACATGGGGAGAAGGTGACAGTGAGATGTCGCGAGATCGGCAAGTACAAAATCGTCGGCGACACAGTTCTCAAATGCCGCAACGCCGTCTGGAGTGGAAAACTGCCTTCCTGTATAGCCACTACTGCCATATCTAATTACACCGGTAAGTATTATCCTTACAGAGTCTGTACACTTTTTTCACAAGTACCGTCTGTTCTTTGTATTAAAAGAGACGGAGAAGTTTAGCTGTTTTCCTAAGGGAAGGATCTCATGAGAAGTAAGAGCTAAAACTGCTGTATCGCGTGCTGGGAGTTTGTTCGATCATCCCGTCTAAGCCATCTTACATCGTTTGGCTTCTTTTCGTTTCAATCCATTATCTTTTTTTCGAGCTAATGCTTTTTCTTGATATCTATTATTTCTTAACTTTTTTTCTCTTTGAGCAATAATATTATCATTGAGTTATTGAATTTTTTTCAAGTTGTCAAAAGAGAAAAAAAAATCGTAAACAACATTTCTTGCTTTCGATTGCATGAAAATAATTGCAACAAAATTCATGGTTTTTTTTTTTTACGAAAAAGATAAATTAATTCTTATACACAGTCAGAGGGAAGCATAAAATTTGTGATTGAAGATAAAAGAATAAGAGTGAGCGCGTGCTCCCACCATCGTTCTGTTTCTCTCTCTCTCCCTTCAGACAAAAGCTTCATCATCTCATACAGAGTGATCCTCTGGTTCCTCTTTTTTGGGGTCTAGCTCATCTCCACGAAATAACGTCACGTACGAGAAGTCCAATTCACCAGAGTTACATGCCCTACCAGTCCATTTAATAAACGAGTCTTTATCTGGCCTTCGTCCCTTTTTTGGGTTTATCCTCCCTGTCGCCCGGCCTCTACTCTGATTTACTTCGTTTTACGTGCGGCTTTTATTCTCGTTAATTTAATGTGCCGTCACCTCCATCATGTGAATAATTTAGTTATATTCTGGCTTGAAAGTAAAAGACAACAGAGAAAGAGTAGTTGGTATGTCTGCCCATACTGTAGTATTTCTACTTGAAAATTAAAAATTTAGATTTTACATTTGAGGTTCGCAACATAAAAAAGTGTATCATTGTCAAAATAGTCAACTCGTGCGCACACAAACAAACGCACCTATTAAAAAATTTCGATCTCTGCCTACAGGAGCTAGAAGAAAAATTATAAAACGTAGAAAACATCAAACCTCAAAAAAAATTTTTTCTTCTCCATTTTTCTATCCGGTAACGCTGGTAACGATGTTTGGCAATGCAGACAGTCACTTCTCAGCGGTGACAAAGAAACGATGCTCTCACTTATCCTTGCCTATACCATCTTACTATTAACTTTCTGGCCACGTATAGAGCTCGTCACAGTGCCAAGAGTCATGAATGTGTGAGTGGGCTCTTTTCGCAAAAGTCAGGAAACGGGTGCTTCGGGTGCGTATGCAAATTCGCATTTGGACTTTGTCACGTAATTACAGATTCGTTTTGCGGTCTCGGATTTTCCGAGAGAAATTCTTATTCTTTGGACTATGTGCTCCTCTGATTAGGATTCCTCGGTGCTCTCTATCTCTGATTGCTTTGGGATTCACTGGTGTGATTATACAGTAGTGTAGATCGATTATGGTCAGACGTGCGTAAGAAATTTACGTATATTCATGTATAGTTAAGAATAGTTTTATTATTGCTTTTCTCTACATACAGTTGCTTCAGGATCTACTAAAATTGATTTTTAGTTGTACATTCTATGGTCAGACTATCGCAAAAACGTAATTTTTTTATTTACCAAATCAAAATATTTTTCTCATGCAGCTTCGTATCTTTTATTTTTTTTACTCTCTTTATGTATGGAATCATTAATCAGCTGTCCTTTCAACTACTTGATTTTGTACTTATTTCGAAATATTATTTATCCTTAATTTCCCATCTTTAACTCTTTTGAAAATCCTTAACATAAATTTAAGTAGTATAGATCGATTATAGGCAGACGGTAGTAATCAAAATATTAATGTGTTTCTTTTAAAAAAATTTTATTTCATTTGTCTGAGATTGGTAAACAAAAAAATTACAATACATCATGTTTGCTGTTTCTACCTTTGAGCGTAAAAAAATTGTTTACCATTTGTATACGTAATGTTCGCGCATATTTGCATGAGAACTGCATTAATGGCTAGTCATCGGATCTCAAAGCCCACCAAAGCTTAACTCATTCACTCCTTCTTCACATCTCTTCTGCCAATCAATATTCTTACAAAATTTAAAATCTTCTATTTCACGTCATACTAATAACAGCAAAAAAAAACTTTGTTTGACAAAGTCAAACTTATTGAAAGGACAGAATCAATAAAAAGAAGACATCACAATAAAATTCGTAGTTTTCTCTTAATTCCTCCTTTGTGTCCATTCTTACGCCTCCTTCAATCCTTTCTATAATTCTGGTACTTCCACAAAATTTATACTCTTTTACAATCAAATCGTAAATAAATGGCTATCCCCCAAACCCCGTAGCTTATTTATGTTTATTTCGTACAACCCTCAAATCTTTAGGGTGAATTACAGCAGACGATGCTTAGAAAACAACTCGTGAGTAAGAAAAAATATTTGGGAGGAATGAGAAGCAGAAAAGAAAATAAGCCTTAAAGGGTACGTGGGGGATGAAGAGAACAGAATCTTAAATAAACCGTCTTCTTCAACATGCGTATCTATACGGAGGTGGCACAAAAGGATGGTCCATGAATATTCAGGGCTTTTTAAAATTTTTTTTTTTTTTTTGTAGACAGTGTGGTGGGAAGATGCCAGTACTGCATTTTATATGTAAATAGCAAATGAACGACGAAGAACCTTTTACAAGAGAGAAATAAAAGAGGCGAAAGTAGCTGTGGGTTATTAACGGGAGGGTTCTAGTGAAGCGAATGGGAGGCTTTGACCGCGTCAGACGGATAAGAAATGAGCATAAGATGCTATTTCCTCTTAAACACCGAAAGGATATTCCAGAAAAAAAGCAATGAATCCCCCTTTTTATTTATTTCAAGATGTCCTTGACTTCCTCTTTGTTCATTTTCGTGCTCACGACCCACAAGCACTTTTATGGTGTCCATCAGAAAAAAATTCCTAAAAAGTAAATCAAAGAAATCCCTCCCTCAGTCCGAGCATGGAAAAGTCCTATATTTCACTTCCCTGTGGGATTCACAGGCAAGTAGCCACTGCAGCCTCAACCAAAGCAATAAAGTGCGCCTTGTGGTGTCGTTACGATGTTTGTTTCAGAGGATGTGCCGCCTACGATACTCTTCGGGCTCCCAGCGGGTTCGGCGACGTTCGAACCCTCGGGCTCCTTGGCCGTCTTTCCTGGGAGTATCCTGCATCTCGAGTGTCTCTTTGCCAGGCGCCTCGGCAACCCCGAGTGGACCTGGACCTCGAATTTTCGACAATACTTGACTGGTTAGTACAGCTCTACAACTTTTCAGTCAAATTTGGTTTTAGTACAGCTTTAAATATATCCTTTTTTTTTATCTCAAAATAGTAGTGTCATCACGTACTGAGAGTGTATTCACATTTAATTTTGTCATATATTCTAGTCTTCCCAACATAGGTCCCCAAATACACAGGCATTATTTCAGTGTAATCAACATAATTACCCACTTGGGACCCCCTATTACTTTGACCTTTTTCTTTAATTAAAGTCCTCGTCAGTCACATACTCAGAAAAAAAAAATCGTGATTATCGTGGGTGGCAGGCAGTTGAGCAATAGTGGCAGGTTAAATATAATTTAATTTCGCAGCCACACGAGGTGGGGCTGGAGAAAAAATAAAGAGGAGGAATCAGTACTCGTCTCTTATTCCAACGGTGTAGAGACCACCGCTACCCACAAATTTCATTTCTCTTCCTATGTATGCAAGTATGTGTGAGTATGTGCTCGCAAAAATGAGCAAGACCATTTTCTCATTCCCTACTCTCGTCACCGAGTAATATATTGCAGGCACGGCTGGTAGCTGTGGTCACTCCCCAATCATCCATATGTGTATAGGAACGTGTAATTGTATGTGTACTATCGTTTGGTATCAGTGGATTTTTCATTTGCCCAATCTTGTGCATAGTTTAAAATTTCTTAGACATATCATCATAACATTTGAAAAAGGTCAAACTTTGTTTTGAACAGGATTATTTCGATGATGACACCGTTGCTAGGACGATTTTCAGCCCTCTCTGGTACGAACAGCTGTATGGACACAGGTACACGCGGATGCCATGTCATCCTGAAACTGATATCATTCATCTCAGGCATTGATCACACACGCCACTATTTCCTTTCCCTGTCCTGATGTCACTGATTGGTGCTGCAATCAATTTCAAATGCGTTTGCTCTGTAGCTCTTAAACTCTAAAATTTCGTTTTTTATCATCGACGTCCGTAGTTCTAGCGGTGTGGTGTGTATTTTATGTTTATATGCGGCAAATATTCAGAGGAGTCTAAAACGTGTGAGAGAGCAAGAACAATGCGATTTTTTTATTTATTATTTTCTATAAGTTATACGATGAATTTTATACTTGAATTTTGTTTTTGTTTTCAAACATATTGAAACCCAATAGACAATCTATAAAGCTGCGTGTCAAATTACCGAATTGCCAGACCAAAATGTGGCTACACTACTTAAGAAATTTTTCCAGTTTAAAAACTTGTTTCGCATACAAAAAAATTAGACAATCTAATACATACCCTACTCCGGAAGTTTTTTTTTTCACGTAACACGGAAAACTCTCACACGCCAAGCCTCAGCATATTGGGGTCCACCCAACAGCTCTCATACACGCAATTTTTGGTGACGCAAGGGAATAATTCGCTGTAGTTAAGGACAAGCGTTATTTACGCCAGGGTTCTCTACTGTGCCTATAAATATACGCAACGCACGAGGCAATCGTCCGGTTCATCGCGATGAAGCATTGACGGGCGTCCAGTGTAGTTAAGGTAGAAGCACCGGCGGCACCGCCAGACAGATTAATGTCGCTGCACGTATCCCCAGTATCGCTCGCACACATGCCACGCTCGTTACCGTCAATTCCACCCATTTGCCAAGATGATTGACTTTCCACTTACTCACCAGTTTGCATGCGAGCGAGTGAAAAAATATGAAGGTGGCAGTCGGACGGGGCATGTTTTATCAGGATGATATTATTTTAGACGGAGGAAATTGCAAGGGGAAAAGTGATGTACGTGCATGCATGGGTGACATAATGTTGGGCGGTCTAGGAATACCTTTACGAAGTAAATAGTGGTGTTTATTTTTCCACTTCGTATTTTGGAGTCTCTGGATGCTAGATTTTCTAGTAATATCGCTTGAGAATTTTTTAAAAATGTATTCAAGTTTCTGTGGCTTAATCGTAAAGTGGAGGAACCTCGGGCGAGGGTGAACAAGAAACCTAATGATTTTCATTGATTGTTTCATGCTTCGTTATTTTTATAAGATTTAATATATTATTTTAACAGTCCAGTAAACACAAGGAATTTCGTGTTGTTTGCAGGCTGGGCGATTTCCCAGATTGAAAGGGACTGGAAGTATCGGCTGTCGATATACTACGCGAAAACCCAAGACTCGGGCATCTATACCTGCACGACACCTCGAGGCCTCACGAATTCCATCAAGGTACACGTCGTCGGTGAGTATACACACATACACTTAAAAATTTTTCGACGTACTCGAAAGGAAGTATCGTATACCTGTACTCATTTACCGCACGGGTCAACGACAGCCCAGAATGTCCAACAAAGCTCAAGTTATCCAAGCACCTTGTGGTATTAAACACATGTGCGTTCTCAAGCAAAATATTTTTGTCACCCACGCATTCCCCTTTTGAGTGTTAGCTCGGCGTTTGGGGTTAACACGTGTACGTGTACCGCCGTCAGGGGTAGACAAAAAACGACACTTTGTACTATGAGCAAAAATGTAATTAAAATTCTGACTTTGACCATGTATGGTAACTGCTTGAGATTCCAGAGGAAACAGAACGAATTCTGTCTCCAGAGAAGCGTAAGAGCTCGTCATTAAAATAAGTGGTCTCATTTTATAATGAGTATGATTTTTCGAGCGAAATTGTCATGATCACCAAGATTGCGTAATCACATTGTATCTACTAACAGTTTTTAATTTTGGAGCCGTAAAAAAAAAAAGATAATTCAATCGATCCAACAAACTGAAAAAAACAATACTTTCAGGAAATTGATTTCTTTTATTTTTTATTATCATTAATTATCATACAAAAATCTAAACACTCTTTCGTCCTTTACAAAAACCTGTTAAGACATGTTCTACTACTATTATTCAATTCAATTAATTATTCAATTATTACTGAATGAGGTAATTTTTCTCCATCGCCGCGTTAATTAAAATCAGTTTTTAATTGACCTACAGCGATGTGCCTGTTGATGATGGCTTCACACAGCACAGCGTAATAAACGATGCTCGAGGAAATGTGGAGCAGGATCGACGATATCGACATACTAAAACAGGATATTTTTCATGTTTTAATTAATGCATCTACCTAACAACTTTTGAGTTATTAACGTGACAGTTGATAGAAAAGGTTGTTCATGATTAGAGGGTGTACTTAAAATGAAAAATACACACTACTGAATTAGTACACTGTATAATAGTTTTAAAAAAAATATTACTAAAAAGTGCATTGAAAAAAAGCAAATTAATAAAACTGCAGAATTAGATGAGGATCGAGGCCTTAGCCAAGCTATCAAGTTCTTGGCCATGAATACAAAAATGAACTCCAGCGAGGTTTAGGTCAACTCGTACTAGTCAAACGTACTTCCTCATTCTTGTCAATCCAAAACTCCAAAACCGACCAATGTAAATCACTTACCAGTTGTTTAGTTATGTCTGGAATACATCCATGTGTAAATAAAGCTGCATAGAAATCCTAAAAAAATAATACAAGAGGAAGACATTGTGAGCAGTTAAATAGGATTAGAGCGATAAATCGTGTATTTTGTTTCAGACGTGCACTGCCCACAGCTGAAGAAACCAGAGCCACCTCTGATTGCGAAGATAGAAGGTCCGCGACTCGGTGAGGCTGCGACGTTCGAGTGCCCGCACGGCTATCGGCTCGAGGGAGCATCGGCTATCACTTGCCAGTATAATGGTAAGCGTATTTAAGTCTAATATAAGTAAATTACAACACTTTTGCAAACTAGATATTGTTTTCATTTGTATTGAACCTTTTGTTTCTCGGGTCCCTCTCTCTTTTCGAGGCACTATTTCGTGCATTCTTTTATTTTAACTTGAAACCTGAAGCTCCGTCTAGAAACAGAAGTATCGTTAAAAATAGCAAGAATTTTTAGTCTTTAAAATTTATTAAAATATTATTTTTTTATTACGTATATAAGGCTATGACAATCGTTTCTGAAATTATACTTACGTATATAATAACCTCCTGGGTTGTCCCCTGCGTCACTAGACACCTCTTCAAAGCCATGGGATCAATAAAAACTCGAAATATTGGGGTAAATGATTTGCTAAAACTTTAAACGCTCGTAACTCCGTAAATAATGGAGATAGAGCCAAATAAGCCCTATTTTAAGATCATAAAAATTTATTAAAAAATTGTTTTTTACTTAACGTATATAAATCTCTAACAATCGTTTTAAAAATTATACTTACGCATATCATAACCTCCTGGGGTGTCCCTTGCATTACTGAGAACCTCTACTAAGCCATGGGATCAATAAAAACTCGAAATATTGGGGTAAATGATTTGCTAAAACTTTAAACGCTCGTAACTCCGTAAATAATGGAGATAGAGCCAAATAAGCCCTATTTTAAGATCATAAAAATTTATTAAAAAATTGTTTTTTACTTAACGTATATAAATCTCTAACAATCGTTTTAAAAATTATACTTACGCATATCATAACCTCCTGGGGTGTCCCTTGCATTACTGAGAACCTCTACTAAGCCATGGGATCAATAAAAACTCGAAATATTGGGGTAAATGATTTGCTAAAACTTTAAACGCTCGTAACTCCGTAAATAATGGAGATAGAGCCAAATAAGCCCTATTTTAAGATCATAAAAATTTATTAAAAAATTGTTTTTTACTTAACGTATATAAATCTCTAACAATCGTTTTAAAAATTATACTTACGCATATCATAACCTCCTGGGGTGTCCCTTGCATTACTGAGAACCTCTACTAAGCCATGGGATCAATAAAAACTCGAAATATTGGGGTAAATGATTTGCTAAAACTTTAAACGCTCGTAACTCCGTAAATAATGGAGATAGAGCCAAATAAGCCCTATTTTAAGATCATAAAAATTTATTAAAAAATTGTTTTTTACTTAACGTATATAAATCTCTAACAATCGTTTTAAAAATTATACTTACGCATATCATAACCTCCTGGGGTGTCCCTTGCATTACTGAGAACCTCTACTAAGCCATGGGATCAATAAAAACTCGAAATATTGGGGTAAATGATTTGCTAAAACTTTAAACGCTCGTAACTCCGTAAATAATGGAGATAGAGCCAAATAAGCCCTATTTTAAGATCATAAAAATTTATTAAAAAATTGTTTTTTACTTAACGTATATAAATCTCTAACAATCGTTTTAAAAATTATACTTACGCATATCATAACCTCCTGGGGTGTCCCTTGCATTACTGAGAACCTCTACTAAGCCATGGGATCAATAAAAACTCGAAATATTGGGGTAAATGATTTGCTAAAACTTTAAACGCTCGTAACTCCGTAAATAATGGAGATAGAGCCAAATAAGCCCTATTTTAAGATCATAAAAATTTATTAAAAAATTGTTTTTTACTTAACGTATATAAATCTCTAACAATCGTTTTAAAAATTATACTTACGCATATCATAACCTCCTGGGGTGTCCCTTGCATTACTGAGAACCTCTACTAAGCCATGGGATCAATAAAAACTCGAAATATTGGGGTAAATGATTTGCTAAAACTTTAAACGCTCGTAACTCCGTAAATAATGGAGATAGAGCCAAATAAGCCCTATTTTAAGATCATAAAAATTTATTAAAAAATTGTTTTTTACTTAACGTATATAAATCTCTAACAATCGTTTTAAAAATTATACTTACGCATATCATAACCTCCTGGGGTGTCCCTTGCATTACTGAGAACCTCTACTAAGCCATGGGATCAATAAAAACTCGAAATATTGGGGTAAATGATTTGCTAAAACTTTAAACGCTCGTAACTCCGTAAATAATGGAGATAGAGCCAAATAAGCCCTATTTTAAGATCATAAAAATTTATTAAAAAATTGTTTTTTACTTAACGTATATAAATCTCTAACAATCGTTTTAAAAATTATACTTACGCATATCATAACCTCCTGGGGTGTCCCTTGCATTACTGAGAACCTCTACTAAGCCATGGGATCAATAAAAACTCGAAATATTGGGGTAAATGATTTGCTAAAACTTTAAACGCTCGTAACTCCGTAAATAATGGAGATAGAGCCAAATAAGCCCTATTTTAAGATCATAAAAATTTATTAAAAAATTGTTTTTTACTTAACGTATATAAATCTCTAACAATCGTTTTAAAAATTATACTTACGCATATCATAACCTCCTGGGGTGTCCCTTGCATTACTGAGAACCTCTACTAAGCCATGGGATCAATAAAAACTCGAAATATTGGGGTAAATGATTTGCTAAAACTTTAAACGCTCGTAACTCCGTAAATAATGGAGATAGAGCCAAATAAGCCCTATTTTAAGATCATAAAAATTTATTAAAAAATTGTTTTTTACTTAACGTATATAAATCTCTAACAATCGTTTTAAAAATTATACTTACGCATATCATAACCTCCTGGGGTGTCCCTTGCATTACTGAGAACCTCTACTAAGCCATGGGATCAATAAAAACTCGAAATATTGGGGTAAATGATTTGCTAAAACTTTAAACGCTCGTAACTCCGTAAATAATGGAGATAGAGCCAAATAAGCCCTATTTTAAGATCATAAAAATTTATTAAAAAATTGTTTTTTACTTAACGTATATAAATCTCTAACAATCGTTTTAAAAATTATACTTACGCATATCATAACCTCCTGGGGTGTCCCTTGCATTACTGAGAACCTCTACTAAGCCATGGGATCAATAAAAACTCGAAATATTGGGGTAAATGATTTGCTAAAACTTTAAACGCTCGTAACTCCGTAAATAATAGAGATAGAGCCAAATAAGCCCTATTTTGAGATCATAAAAATTTATTTAAAAATTTTTTTTTTAAATTACGTATATAAATCTGTAACAATCGTTTTGATATTATATCTACGCATATCATAATCTCCTGAGGAGTCCCTTGCAATACTAGGAACCTCTACAAAGCCATAGGATCAATAAAAATTCAAAATATTCGGCTAAATGATTTGCTAAAACTTTAAACGCTCGTAACTCCGTAAATAATAAAGATAAAGCCGAATAAGCCCTATTTTGAGATCATAAAAATTTATTTAAAAATTTTTTTTTACTTTACGTATATGAATCTCTAACAATCGTTCTAAAAATTATACTTACACATATCATAACCTCCTAGGGTGTCCCTTGCATTACTAGGAACCTATACAAAGCCAAAGGAACAATTAAAATTCGGATTATTGGGCTAAATAATTTGCTAAAGCTTTCAACGCTCGTAACTCCGTAAATAATGGAGATAAAGCCAAATAAGCCCTATTTTGAGATCATGAAAATTTATTAAAAAATTTTTTTTTACTTTACGTACATGAATCTCTAACAATCGTTCTAAAAATTATACTTACGCATATCATAACATCCTGGGGTGTCCCTTGCATTACTAGGAACCTCTACAAAGCCATGGAATCAATAAAATTTTGAAATATTGGGCTGATAGATTTGCCAAAACTTTAAACGCTCGTAACTCCGTAAATAATGGAGATAGAGCCAAATAAGCCCTATTTTAAGATCATAAAAATTTATTAAAAAATTGTTTTTTACTTAACGTATATAAATCTCTAACAATCGTTTTAAAAATTATACTTACGCATATCATAACCTCCTGGGGTGTCCCTTGCATTACTGAGAACCTCTACTAAGCCATGGGATCAATAAAAATTCAAAATATTGGGCTAAATGATTTGCTAAAACTTTAAACGCTCGTAACTCCGTAAATAATAGAGATAGAGCCAAATAAGCCCTATTTTGAGATCATAAAAATTTATTAAAAATTTTTTTTACTTTACGTATATAAATCGCTAAAAATCGTTTTAAAAATCAAACTTACGCATATCATAATCTTCTGGGGTGTCCCTTGCAATACTAGGAACCTCTACAAAGCCATGAGGTCAATAAAAATTCAAAATATTGGGCTAACTGATTTGCTAAAACTTTAAACGCTCGTAACTCCGTAAATAATAGAGATAGAGCCAAATAAGCCCTATTTTGAAATCATAAAAATTTATTTTTTACTTAACGTATATAAATCTCTAAAAATCGTTTTAAAAATTATACTTACGCATATCATAACCTCCTGGGGTGTCCCTTGCATTACTGAGAACCTCTACTAAGCCATGGGATCAATAAAAATTCAAAATATTGGGCTAAATGATTTGCTAAAACTTTAAACGCTCGTAACTCCGTAAATAATAGAGATAGAGCCAAATAAGCCCTATTTTAAGATCATAAAAATTTATTAAAAAATTGTTTTTTACTTAACGTATATAAATCTCTAACAATCGTTTTAAAAATTATACTTACGCATATCATAACCTCCTGGGGTGTCCCTTGCATTACTGAGAACCTCTACTAAGCCATGGGATCAATAAAAACTCGAAATATTGGGGTAAATGATTTGCTAAAACTTTAAACGCTCGTAACTCCGTAAATAATGGAGATAGAGCCAAATAAGCCCTATTTTAAGATCATAAAAATTTATTAAAAAATTGTTTTTTACTTAACGTATATAAATCTCTAACAATCGTTTTAAAAATTATACTTACGCATATCATAACCTCCTGGGGTGTCCCTTGCATTACTGAGAACCTCTACTAAGCCATGGGATCAATAAAAACTCGAAATATTGGGGTAAATGATTTGCTAAAACTTTAAACGCTCGTAACTCCGTAAATAATGGAGATAGAGCCAAATAAGCCCTATTTTAAGATCATAAAAATTTATTAAAAAATTGTTTTTTACTTAACGTATATAAATCTCTAACAATCGTTTTAAAAATTATACTTACGCATATCATAACCTCCTGGGGTGTCCCTTGCATTACTGAGAACCTCTACTAAGCCATGGGATCAATAAAAACTCGAAATATTGGGGTAAATGATTTGCTAAAACTTTAAACGCTCGTAACTCCGTAAATAATGGAGATAGAGCCAAATAAGCCCTATTTTAAGATCATAAAAATTTATTAAAAAATTGTTTTTTACTTAACGTATATAAATCTCTAACAATCGTTTTAAAAATTATACTTACGCATATCATAACCTCCTGGGGTGTCCCTTGCATTACTGAGAACCTCTACTAAGCCATGGGATCAATAAAAACTCGAAATATTGGGGTAAATGATTTGCTAAAACTTTAAACGCTCGTAACTCCGTAAATAATGGAGATAGAGCCAAATAAGCCCTATTTTAAGATCATAAAAATTTATTAAAAAATTGTTTTTTACTTAACGTATATAAATCTCTAACAATCGTTTTAAAAATTATACTTACGCATATCATAACCTCCTGGGGTGTCCCTTGCATTACTGAGAACCTCTACTAAGCCATGGGATCAATAAAAACTCGAAATATTGGGGTAAATGATTTGCTAAAACTTTAAACGCTCGTAACTCCGTAAATAATGGAGATAGAGCCAAATAAGCCCTATTTTAAGATCATAAAAATTTATTAAAAAATTGTTTTTTACTTAACGTATATAAATCTCTAACAATCGTTTTAAAAATTATACTTACGCATATCATAACCTCCTGGGGTGTCCCTTGCATTACTGAGAACCTCTACTAAGCCATGGGATCAATAAAAACTCGAAATATTGGGGTAAATGATTTGCTAAAACTTTAAACGCTCGTAACTCCGTAAATAATGGAGATAGAGCCAAATAAGCCCTATTTTAAGATCATAAAAATTTATTAAAAAATTGTTTTTTACTTAACGTATATAAATCTCTAACAATCGTTTTAAAAATTATACTTACGCATATCATAACCTCCTGGGGTGTCCCTTGCATTACTGAGAACCTCTACTAAGCCATGGGATCAATAAAAACTCGAAATATTGGGGTAAATGATTTGCTAAAACTTTAAACGCTCGTAACTCCGTAAATAATGGAGATAGAGCCAAATAAGCCCTATTTTAAGATCATAAAAATTTATTAAAAAATTGTTTTTTACTTAACGTATATAAATCTCTAACAATCGTTTTAAAAATTATACTTACGCATATCATAACCTCCTGGGGTGTCCCTTGCATTACTGAGAACCTCTACTAAGCCATGGGATCAATAAAAACTCGAAATATTGGGGTAAATGATTTGCTAAAACTTTAAACGCTCGTAACTCCGTAAATAATGGAGATAGAGCCAAATAAGCCCTATTTTAAGATCATAAAAATTTATTAAAAAATTGTTTTTTACTTAACGTATATAAATCTCTAACAATCGTTTTAAAAATTATACTTACGCATATCATAACCTCCTGGGGTGTCCCTTGCATTACTGAGAACCTCTACTAAGCCATGGGATCAATAAAAACTCGAAATATTGGGGTAAATGATTTGCTAAAACTTTAAACGCTCGTAACTCCGTAAATAATGGAGATAGAGCCAAATAAGCCCTATTTTAAGATCATAAAAATTTATTAAAAAATTGTTTTTTACTTAACGTATATAAATCTCTAACAATCGTTTTAAAAATTATACTTACGCATATCATAACCTCCTGGGGTGTCCCTTGCATTACTGAGAACCTCTACTAAGCCATGGGATCAATAAAAACTCGAAATATTGGGCTAAATGATTTGCTAAAACTTTAAACGCTCGTAACTCCGTAAATAATGGAGATAGAGCCAAATAAGCTTTATTTAGAGATCATAAAAATTTATTAAAATTTTTTTTTTTACTTCATGTATATAAATCTGTAACAATAGTTTCGAAAATTATACTTACGCATATCATAACCTTCTGGGGTGTCCCTTGCATTACTAGGATACTCGACAAAGCCATGGGATCAATAAAAATTTGTAAATATTGGGCTAAATAATTTTTATTGTTGAACCAATTTTATTTTGTTGAGAGGAAATCATGGATAAAATTTAAATTTTACTAATTAGAGATATGGCACAACTAAGTTCTACAGCATAGAAATTATTTCCGTAACCATGACACTTGAACTGTTTTTCGTGAATTGTTGAAGTAATAGAATTCGTCGAAGGTGCACATAATTTTTTTTCTTTTTTAGGCAAATGGTCGGCTAACATGCCGCGTTGCGAAGCGATAATATGTCCACCTATTCAGCCCATGAACCCAAAGCTCCAGTTACTCGAGCACAATAACAGTTACAGCGGCCGGGCGATCTTCACTTGCATGTGGGGCCACAAGCTCGTTGGTTCCCAGAGTATAAGATGCTCAAACAATGGCACCTGGAGTGGACCAATACCCACGTGCTTAGGTAAGCAAAGTTTTCAATACCGATCGAACTGGATACAATCGTTTTTGCTCAAATAACGTAACCAAAAATTGTCAAACTGAAAAAGTCGTGAAAATGGATAAAATGACGTGGGTGGAAATTGGTTTGTTACATCAAGGGTGTGTGCCCAACTTTAGCGTATCTTCCAAGTTACGGCCCAAGTGTCGACTCATATAGGATGGGCGCGAAACTTCGACTTCCTGTACACTGTATGTGTAGATACGCTTGACGAGTTACTAGTTTTCGTTCTACCTATGTCGAGAGTTCGCAGCTATCGGACTTCTCGCGTCTTGCATAATGTGCTTTATAAGGGGCTGCAATTACGTATATGCAACTTTAATCATACATTTTAAGAATAATTAATGAAATTTAAAAAGCCTTGCGTTAGGTATGTCTTTAGGTTGGCGTGTAAGCGTATTATTTTGCGTTAGGTATGTATGCGATGGATGGAAATACAATGGTAAAACGCTCCTGATCATTCATCAAATTAGTACGGGTTATAACTCTTTTTGCTTTTACTGGCAACCTTAAACTGTTCTCTAAGTGCACATTAATCCCGTTTTTCATGCCCCCATAAATTCTGGACAAAAATAAAGTAAAAACATGTAGCTGTGGAGTGGGTTTTAATATAATATGTTCACGAGATTCAATCTGACGGTAATTGGGTTACATACAACCATGTAAATTGGTCTATTGATTCGATTGTAAAATTAATCATCAGTTCCATATGGTGTATGAATGCTTAGCATAATAATGTAGAGAAATTACTATTCTATATAATTGATCCGTACATTGGAGATACTACAGATATGTTAAAAAATTATATTCGCAGCGTTTTTGTTTTCATTGAGTTCACTTTACGTATCGCAATAGAGCATCAAAATTACACATTGCTTCCACATGCATAACCATCAAGCTTGTCACCATATCTTGTTATTAATAGCATAGCAAACGCAAAAAAATATTCGACTAGAGAACGATATACAGAACAACTAATGTCGTTGGCAAATGAAAGCAGAGTAGCCCTTGACGGGATTTCTGACAAAAACTGTTTGGTTCGATGAATATAGGGACGCAGAGTCTTTTGGAGCGTGAAAAGGTCAGGCTCGATAAAAGCCAAGGTAATTACAAATAACAAGAGCTTAATTTTCCACCTGTCTTCGGGAAGCGGGAGGCTCCGCGTCGTGTTTTCTTTCCCATCTCTCCTTCTCCTGGAGAGTAAAAAAATCGAGGTCCATGCTCCTGACAAAGGGAGGGTCGTTATCTGGCTACGGTGTCTTATATAGGTTCACGCGTATGTAGACAACGAAAAGAGGAAAGGCAAAAGAACAGAGGAAAGTTTGCTGGGCTAAAAAACTCGAGGGTTGCCTACCGATCAAGGGTCAGAATTTTATGGGTGGCTGCCACACTGTTTCCAGGAAATCGTTTATTTTTTTTTTTTTTTTAGGCAGGTATAGTTTTGAAGACGAAGTGTTTTCGTGGGATGCATGGTTAAGATTTTACATTTGACAGGCTACTGTGCATAGATGGTCGGAAGCTAACCCACTTTTCTTCTGTTTTGATCACGTTACGTTCACTGAATTAATTGATACGTGTAAAAAGAAATGCCAATGACTGACAAGTAAGGGATAAGACAGAAAACTGAAAAAGGTCGGGTGAAGTTAAAGGTGCTGATTCATATAGTGATGTGAATTTGGCAATTTAAATCCACCAATATTCAGTTAATACTCGCGTAAAATGTCACGTAATTAAATAAATAAGAAATTACTTGTAGTGAAAAAAAAGGCTGGTATTATTACTTCGTTCTTCTAAACGGGAGCTTTCATCAGTGGTATCAAGTCACGCCATATGTTTTCCGCGAAACAGAGAGTGCCTAGTGAAGTTCTTCTGAAAAATTAAATCACCCGCTGTGGGCCATTTATTTTTCCCGACGCTCGAAACTATCCTTTCCGTCTCCACCTCCAATTTCTTTCTCTTTTTTCGTTCTCACTTCTTAGTTTTCAGTGCTCTCTCTTCTCTCAACTACCTCCGCTTCCGTTCCCTTTTCTGACGTCAGTGACGACGACAATCACCAGCTTCCTTCACAAGCCTTTTTTCTGATTCTCATTTGCGGGTACCTTTGCCTACTTTCATCTCTTTCGTTTCTTCGAAGGCTTCTCGTGCTAACCCCCCTTTTTTTCTAACTCTCCTTTTCCCCTTTTTTCTTGAAGCTTCAGGTAGCTCAGGATGATTCACAAAATTGCACGGCCACTTTACGCAGTGGCAAAGCATTTTCGCTAATAGAGATGGAGAATGGTCTCCTCCACGTGTAATGCGTGCTCATATATCCAGGCCTAGAGGGGGAGAAAGTTGTTGAAAACTGACACGGAAGTTGGACGCACATCGACAAAAACAAAAAGGAATATATTTGATTTGGTTACTAGTTTATCAGGGGACTATCCATGTCTCAAGTTTACTACGCGTATACTCCCAGCTTTTCAAGTAAATTTCAATACAAGTCTAACAAGTTGTTGATTCTCCATTTTAGAATGCTTGATGTTTTAATTGCTTCATAATACAACAGGGAATATTTCCATGTTTGTCTGTCTGCAGAGATAACGTGTCCAACGCCCGAGACGCCCATAAACGGGGAGCTGATGGACAACCAACAGCAGCAGTGGTCGAGGCGCAAGGACCAGACGCACAGGGTGGGCTCGTTGGTGCGCTTCTCGTGCCTGACCGGACACCAGCTCGTTGGCCCCGCCTCGGCCATCTGCACCGAAAACGGCACGTGGTCGCACCAGCCGCCAATATGTAAGTCCCCCTTTGCTGTACTCTATAGTGTCTATATATAGCGTGTATGTGTACGTGTGTGTGGCAAATTGGCTCGCGATTGATTGGTCATTGTCCATCCTCGTGGATGGAATAAAAGAGCACTTGATTGGAAGTTTCCTCGGATCATTGGGTACAGCGTGGGAAGCAAAAAAAACTGATACAATGGATAGTGGTTACTGTATATTTTTTTTCCTTCGTTGCAAACTTCAATGTTTCCAATAACAAGCAGAAAATTCATTGTACGTTTCGAGAATCAGTGAGAGTTTCACGATAAGCTGTACATCCCCCACAGGTATATTTACAGACCGTAGCTCACGGTACATTCGCACGACTTTTCCCGCAGTACAAAACTTCCAAAACTAGAGGTTCTGGACCACCTTCGATCCATTTCCTTTCATCAAGTATTGGCTACGGTCCAAAATATGAAAATAATATCTCTTGCAACCACGTAGTCAAAAAGAAGCGAAAAACAATACAAACTATACCTGGTATTTACATAGTTTTCGGGATCATCGCAATCTCACTTTTTTGTTGGTCCCTAAACGACAGACGCGGATGTCAGTTTGTCCTTTTAGTCATTTTGTCCTTTTCGAGCATAGGTAGGTAAGCAAGATAGAAATAGGCTATTTCGATGGAAGATAGGATGACTAGACAACAAAAGAGGGAAAAGAAGCGCGAAAGCAATATCCGGCCACCCACACCCCAAATCACTCCTTCCCCATACGTTGACCCTCCGAGGCTCTTCTGTCCCAAGCACGTGTGCCACTGGCCCCGCCTCTCCCTCGAGTTAGCAGATAAAGGTAACCGGTGCAATCGCAGCTCATACATCATTCCGTCGCCGTGTACGTCTGTCCATCTCCTTTTTTCTTCTCCTTGGCACCCTCGGCTACGCAGGCACTAATTGCTCCGACGCAGAGAAGTCATTTGCTCGAGTAAACGCAATTTCGATTCGGGAATCGTTTGCTCGCGCTGCAGCGAAAAGGGAAGGGCCTAAGGTGTGGGTCTCTGATGTGGAGTCCATTAAACCTTGGCTACTGCGTGAGTCTGCTTTTTCCGTACCTCACGATGAGAGTCCGTGTTTGAAATCGAGAAGTTAGCTGCTATACGTTTCAACTGCATAATTATTTAGCGGGAAGCAAAGCAAACTGTTATTACCGTTATTATTATTATTATTTCAATTAAACTTTCCAGGCTGGGCAAGTTTAATCAACTGCGTAATTATAGTTGTATGGATATTTGAGGAGTGAATGGATTCTGTTTAATTACTCATCAACACGTCTTGCACAACAAAACCTTAAAATCGTTGTAAAGAATCCCATGAAGGTATAGTCTCCCTCATTGGGATGTTGTCTTTTTATTTGTTCGCAGGTGACGTGAGGTGCCCCTATCCGGGCGACCCGATCCACGGGCGCATAGCGCCACTGAAGTTCTGGTACAAATCGGGCGACACCATACAGGTGAGCTGCTCGCCGGGCTACGTGACGTCAAGAAAACGGCCAGTGGAGCGATCCACCCCCGCCGTGTCGGTCCTACAGGGACGTGTGATGATGGCCATATGGTGGGGATATTATTTTTCGTATTGATGATTCGGAGGATACGCCAAAGGGAAACACAAAAAAACTTTAAATTGAAATCACGAGGAGATAATAATGCCAGGATGATCAAACGGTGGAGAGGATCAATGAAAAAAGTGTGAACGTTCGAGGAAAGGTGAAGGAGAGAGGGTGTCCACAAGACGTGATCTGCTTGTCAACTGCTCCTGTCTCACCGTGGTTCTGGAGAAAACACACAGAGACTTGAAGACATTTCTGAAGATTCCACTAAACAAACCATCGCCATCATTTTTATATATGCATACATGTGCACACTTCCTTCCTGTTTTTATTCCAATACATAAAACGAACATTTTCATACCTTTCAGCCAGAATACATATGTGAATTCATTTTTATTTTTTGTTTTTCATTTATTTCACTAAAAATCAAAGACAAAGAGAGAAAGGAAGAGAGAGAGCAAGAGAGAGAGAGAAAAAGAGCAACCGTTAGTTCATAAATGTAGCTTGTGATGGGAAAGGCAGAAACGCGCGTATGAGAGTCCAAAACTGTTTTCAGAGGAATGGTTGGCACGAAACCCATTTAAACTATGGAGCCCACTTAGTACTTTTTTGCTTGTTCTTTAGCACATAATCAAAAAACCCTGCCACATTTTGAAAAAATAGAAAAGCACGTGCCAAGAAAATGTTTGGCGCGTCTGAGCGTCTGACCAAACGCTGATCTCTACTACTTGATTCTCGTCTCCTTTCCACCCCATACTTCCAGATCTTTTTTGAGGACCGATTTTGTTTACCACTATCAGGTGGGCATTACAAGCAAAAGTCAAAAGGTGGAGGTGCCAAAAAAGTTGTCGGACACGTTTGTCACCATTAAAACTCGCTCATCGACAGACCCCGGTCCTCTCCTCCAATCCACATAGTACAAACCGACGACAAGCCACTAGACGTGTGGAGCGAGAGGAAAGGTCGGGCAGTCCAGCAGATGGTGGAGAGAGAGATTAATATGGGGTACTACTCCCCCCAACCCCAAGGCCAACGGTGCAGTGGTGGTGACGGTGTGGCGGTGCGCAAAGTGTAAATATTAATCCCCGGTTCACGCGCCCTTTCTGTCTTTCCCTTCCCTCGCGGCTTCTGACCCTCACAACCACGAAAATGCATATGCTCATGCATATTCGCAAGTGAAGTCAACTCCAAGCAGAACGAGAAAGGGATGCGTATGTATTCGAGTAACAACGGTTATTTTTGGTGGTACAAAAAGATGGGATTAAATTACGCGCTGCGAGTTCGAGCTTGGCGTGTGAGAGAAAAAAAAGATAATTGGAGAGAAAGATAAACAGTAGTATGAATTGACTTGATAATCGTTTTCATGATAATTATCATTATGGAGTACGACACTCGATGGCTCCACGGTTCATGAGCAAATCGTAGCCATGACTCTGGCATGCAATGTTGGTTTTAACACTTATTGTTTAAAATTTTTTTTTTTTTTTAATTTTCGATTTCTTTCGACCTCTCAGTATAAGGTGTAGGGCATGTGGAAGATGGGGGAAAAAAATAAATAAAACGAAACTGTCTGCTGAATCAAACAATAATCAAAAGTAGTGGTGTATTTTTCGTATGAAACACGTTTTATTCTACCATCGATGTCAAAGAAAGGTAGTTGAAAGTTAAGTGACGCATGAGCATTTTGTTAGATTAATTTTTTTTTAAAAACACACATTGAGTGATTCAATTGTAACATGTTCTCTAAGAAATTTTTATCTTAGATTTGCAATAAGATGATAATAATAATAATTGTAATGAAAAATAAAAAATAAAATAATAATGATAAAAACACACAAACATAAAATTTGGTTTCTGTATAAGATATGAGTGGTAATGTAAGTATCGATTTTTTATTGTTTCGAGCAGTACAGTAAAGGAATTTTTCGTCTAAATAGTGTGAAGGATTTGTTCATTTATCGTTTGAGTGCGTCGAGTCGTATTTGAGTGCAAGTTTTACCTGATGTAAGAATCTTTTAGAACCTCTTATTCTTTCATATCGATGTGTAACAATAATATGAATAAAAATAATAAAGTACTGTTTATTCTTTAAATCACGCTTTTATTTTACTGAATCATCATTTTCTCGCACTAATATTTTATATTCGATATTAATATTTTTCTTACTTCTAACCTCTATTACTTTCAAGGTAAAACTACACAAAGAAAAAAAAACTAATCTAGTACTGGAAACGAAGTTTTAAAATTCACGAGCTATTTCTTAATGGCTTAAAAAAACTACAAAAAGAGATTCACTGAACAAGATGGGGCTCACATTCTGCTCACATTGTCCAAAGGGAGAAAGAATATACGAAGCGAAACTTCACACAGATAAATAAATTGAAAACGAGTCGAAGCGGAAATTGTATAAGAGACACCTTCCAGTTCATGAATTTTAATCCTCTGCATCAGAATCCATCCACACGTAAGTCACAATCCAACAAATGTATTTACTCCACGAATTTCATCAATGTCTCCAAATCCTTGCTATTACATTTCTGCTGACGAGTGATACTTCTTTTTTCTGCAAATGCCCACATTTTGTGGTTTTTTTACTTTTCTACTCCATAGCAACAGGCTGATTTTGTTATTTTTATTTTTTTTCTTTTTTTTTCTTTTTCATCTTGCTGAGTACTTTATGCAGATACATTGTGTGTTTGATCCACGCTGTCGTGTTTTGTTTGATTATTAAAAATTTTCACTAGCTCTTGGTATGTGGGTAACGCATTTATATAATCTACAAAAAATTATGGATTAAAAAAAAAATTTTTTTAAAGTGTTTTGCGTTGGATATTTACTAAAAGTCCTCATCAGCACATGTACTTTGTAACAAAATGATATTCATTTTTTATGCTCTTGCAACTACCGTGGCGTGTATCTATCAAAGTTAAAGTGCACGGATCCAATCTGCCTCTAGACGTACAACACCTGAATGACTTTCCTTACTCTTTTTTCTCTTGAAATTTCATAAGCATCCAAAAAATGATTTCGAGGGAAGGATATCGAAAAATACGATGGGAAAAAGCGTGATCTCACGTGCCGTAGGCTACGCTTCGAAGCACAAGTTTGGCGACAGCAACACCAGAAGCAGCAGAGAAGGAGAAGGGGAGGATGAGCACCGGAGGAAGCCCGAGGCTCATTTCCCATATCACGGATGGATGGGCGCCCGAGTGAGCTCGACTCCCCGGCAATTTTTCAACGGCGCGTCTCAAACTTCTCCTTCCCGCCGAGGAGTGTTATTAATATACAACAACTGCTGCTTCGTGGCTCTACTGAATGGTATTATTTATTGCTACAGTGCTAGTCTTAACAATAAAAATGATCTTTTTTTCCATAATTTTTATTGGAAAATCAAACATTGATCGAAATTCTTAACTCCCAAAACATAATTACCAGCAAGTCAGCCGCAACCATTTTTATCAACTTGATGAAGTAACAACAGTCTAGAAGTAAGTAGTAAATTCAATACTTGGGCGGCTTATCCGTACTTTCTATCTGCACCACGTTTATAAATGCATCACCAAAGAGTGCTTACCTCCATAATTTAAATCCTCGCTCAATGCACCTACCACCCCTGCATGATTAAAATTGATAAGTTTTATGCGGTACGGAAATAAACTCTTCAACAGGAAATAAGTCGATATAAAGACAATGGGGATGGATTAGTGGTGCTGCTATGAAGTTGAGGACAGTTGATGCCTTGGAAGAGCCGAGGTAAAATAAATAAATGAGGTGACTATAACTGCCGTGACATGCCGGCTGTAGATGTGCTGCTTGTACGGCTCTTCGTATTTTTTTCCTCTTTCTGTACTTCTTACATCTCGGTATTGATTTTCCATGGTTTTCTCGATGTGCTGTTTTCATTTATTTCCACCCTTTTTGTCTTCTTGTATACTTAGGATTTTTTCAGGTTTCTATGATAGTTTTATCTTGCTCGTGTATGTGAATTTCGGTGTGTGCTTTAGTTTGAGTCGAACCAAATTTTATTAAAAAATTAATTCCATCGTTGACTCACACACAGATACAACATATGTTTTAAAACTATGTATATTGTAATTTTTTTTTTTTTTTTTTCATTATTTACATTGTTTACATTGTACGTACATTATATTGTTTAAAGATTGGTTGTTCTCGTGTTTTAAGTGAAAAATTTATTAGTTTTAGAAAACGTCATAAACAAAATATAAGTGCATGTAGGATTTAAGAAGCAAACTGTTTGTTTTTACAAACGTAAATAACACATGGAATAGTGGAAGGAAAGTCGTAAAGATATGAACAGCTATGGAAATATTATATTACGACAAAATACGGCACACTTGACCTACTTTCTCGCACCAAGCCTTTAACGATTTTCACCGCGATAATACTTGCACTTCTCACTCGAATGTCATATTGCATAAAATGTTCCTTAATAGCCAGTCACATTAAGTACGTAAATTACACGTAAATGTAAATTTTCCTCTTTTTTATCTCCTACTCAAATGAAATTTTGACTTTATTAATTTTTTTTGGTAAGAATCTTAACTTTAATCCAATATTTTATACGTTAAATCCGCCATCCCAAAGAAAAAAAAGTGTAAGTGTCGTTTAAATAACATTTGATTTACACGTTTTTTCCCTATGATGACAAAAGTATTCAAGCAGCTTAAGAAAACTTATAGACAAATATATACATGTTCGTTTTTTTTCCAAAAAAATTCTGTCACCCCATCGTCACTTCTTTCCCTCAAGCTTCATCCACCGACCGAAAAACATTAGTTCCAATAAACCTCAGGTATGCTCTTTTCCTCGTCAATCCTTTTCTTACTTGACCCACTGGCGAATACAAACTACCCATTTGAACTGATATACAGTAACAGTAATGCAGCTGAAAAAATATTACCAGCTCCCGTCTCGATTCAACTCATTAACTCTACGTAAACCCTCGCGTTAAATTTCCATCGTGACGCGGCTCTCTGCACTAGTCTAAGATTAAATTACGAGTGGCCGAAAGCTCCAGTGCAACGTTGGGGCGCGAGACAATAATTTTCTCGATAACTTTTCCCGACAGGCCATT